TTTACTGCAAACCAAATCTACCCTAGGCTACAAACCTTAAACCTTTAAACTTCTAATAAATCATCCCTCTGTACCGAGGTTACATGTCAGAATGTAATTCAGTAAGTAATTTATCTAAATAAACTATAATATTTTTAAATGAAGGTCAAACATGTTATATAAAGATTATATATAGTGTATAGTGTACGAGTCAAATGTTTTTATAGGAGTCCATATACAGTAAATGAATAGAACATTATAGATTAGAGACAATAGGACCACATGATGTGTCAGTTATGCAACTAAAGACTAAGAGCTTGAACATGAAGGATATTTTGGTTCTGAAATACATAAAAGCTCAATCAAAGAACAATACATTTAAAATTGGTCTTTTATCTTGACCAGCCTCGTTTATGTGTGAGAGATTCGATTTTTGTGAACTCCATAGTGTGTTTTTTGTGTGTGTTTAGACTCTTTGTTGAGCTGAACTGTGCTGAACTGAGAAGACCTGCACAGAGAGAGGTCCTGTACTACTGTAGCATGATGCCCTCTGCTGTTTATGTGCTGCTACTAAGTGAAGAATGTTTCGCCCCCCAAAGGTTTCCATGTCACAGACCTCAGGTTGAACATCTCGCACGCAGCTTTTTATACGGTCATCACTGTACTTAATCTTTCTACTAATGTCTAAACTGTGAATTAGATTTAAAAAAAAGATGATATAAATAAAAAAACCACATTTTTATTCTTAAAATGTGTTGTGTGTGTGTTTATCTTGTTTTATTTGGGCAGAGACATGCTTTGGGGTTTTTTTTAAACATAATTTTTCAAGTCTTTCAAGCTCCATAAAACTACAGCCAAACCTCAGTAAATCCCATTGACTACATCACACTCTGGATGAGAGCGAAGCATATTTCATGTTTTGAACTGTCCCTCGGAACCGTTTGAGAGGTGAAATCCGTTCCTGATCTCAGCTCTTGGCAGGTCGGCGTTCAGGAGAAAGCAGTTGTTCCTTAATCTCATTTTGCTGCTACTGTTGCAAATATGTTACTGTGTCCTCCACAGCCGTGCCAGGGCGAGATGCCCAACACTCAGCAGATCAGCATCAGTTACTATGGCAACAGCCATGGACCAGACTGTGGAGCCAACATGGCTGCCAAAGGGGAACTGCAGCAGCCAAGCTGTGTCTGTCTGTGTGGTTTCACACATGAGCGACAAGCACAACATCCTGGCACGGCTATTTGTAACCTTCATGTCTTCGGGGAAATCCTCTTTTGTGCTCTGCATGCAAACTGTATGTTCTCTGCAAATTAAAAATACCCAGCGTTATTGCTCCTTAGCGGTTTACATTTATGCGGCTACCTGACACCTACAGGATATAAGACAGGAACCTCGTGGTAAAATTAGAACGGTGCTGCCCAAAATATTCAGCCTCAGGAGGTCTTGGCGGTCAGATGGGCTGAAGCACATGACATGCACTTACATTGAGTATTTTTACATACACACTAATAATTCAGTGAACAGCGGTCATCAACTGTATATCTATCATAATCTATCTGATCATAGTCAATAAGCAGAACACACCTGTATCCCTGTCAAAGGGAGCCTATCAAACAGGTCTTTCACTTATTTATCTCCAACATGATGTGAACTCAATCAAACATTTGCCTTAAAGCAACATTATGTAAACTATTCTACCTTAAAATAACAGCTTCAAAATCATTTTGATGCTACACTATTAGACTGAATGGTGTCCACACCTGTTCTCATGCTACGTAACTTTTGGCTCCAGGTTGTAAACGCTTTAAAGCACTAAGTCACACACCACCAACTATATCACTGATTTTGGTGAAACTGGAGGATATTTTATGGACAAGATGTTTTTTCTGGTTTTCCCTCTGATGTCCTCCGGCTGCTCCGCCTCAACACTCTCTCAACGTTTGCTGGTTAG